GAATCCAGCTTTGTGTAAATGGTTTAAAACAGTTTTATGGTCGATTTTTAGCTCCTGTGCGATGTTACTAGCAGTCGTAACATCGCACAGGAACTAAAAATGCCGGTCATCTTCGATAATTTTTTTCTTGGATTTATTTTTCGCCAACCTAATATTATTGGCGACTCTCTTACATGGTTGTGACCTTTATCCTAAATACAATAGACCAATTAGCCCACTTAGGATGCCGAATCTTACAATTAGAAAATCTTTCGATCTGAACAAGGCTTGTTGTCTATATCAAATCAATTTAGCTTAACTGGCGGCATTCCGAGATGTTGAGAGACTTTTCAACTATGTGAAACACGAACCTATCCAATCCGCACATGAATGTACGGTCTCTGCTCAAATGCAACAGAATGGAAAGCAAAAGTTTTCAATATTGGATCCAGTTGACACATATTTTAATAAGTGGGCCCTCAGAATTATACCTCAAGCTGTCATGAAATCTCCAACCCTTTTGGTTAAATTCTAGATGACGAGGTGTGCTCTGAAACTCAAAAAAGCAGGAACGAGGATTGCTCAGAGTTCTGTGTGGCATATAGGGTGGCTGTTACATTTCATCGCAGTTATTTTGGTTTTTTCATAGTGGAAAAAATTGCGTATCGATAATTTGTGTTTGGTACCGTATAATTAATGCCACAATGTATACATCTCCGACCCTTTTACCCTTTAGTTAAATTCTAGACGACGAGGTGTGCTTTGAGATTCAAAGAATCGGAAACGTGGGACATGCTAGTATTCTTATAAGTTGATACACTGCGAATAAGCCTGTAACAGATGATCTGAGGAGCCTGAGTGCAGAACTTAAAGATCATCTGACTTGAGATTTCATGTAGTGAACGTATTTTGTTCTTGCCAAAGAGGAAAGGAGGGATCAAAATTTAATGCAGACAATACAACAGGCCACTACAGGTTTATTCAGATTTCTGGGTGACATATGGGGTGGGTGTTACATTTCATCGCAGTTATGTTGGTTTTTTCATAGTGGAAAAAATGTCGTTTCAATAATTTGTGCTTGGTACCGTATAATTAATGTCGTAATGTATTCGCTATTGGGTTTAATTTTATTTTTAGATGAGTGGGATGGAATTCAAGCGTTTGAATGAAATCCAAATAGGCCATCAATCAAGTAAATTATCGTTTATGAGAGGTTGACATATGACGCTGGAAAAAATGCAAAATAAACTTTTTAGATACCCAAAGCTAGGCAGCAGAAGATATCAAATGTTTGGCAACATTCTTCTCCAGAATAAATCACATAAAAAATATTTTGTATTAAAAACATAATAATAATTTCTGCGTACGTCGCTGCTACCTTCTCCTTTCCTTCTCGACACTTCTGTCTTCTCCTTCTCAGGTGCTCAGGATGATCACAATATAGTGAAGATCTCTTAGTGAAAACAGCAGCTAAAAAACGGGTGGCTGAACATTCTTTTACCCAACCTACTTTCTGTGATGATGACATTCTATGATAAGACAATTTTTTTAAATCTGAGAATCCGGGTTGTTGCCATATCCGCCTGTGGGAATTTCCCATAACTCAAACGTATTCAATTTCTAAATTTATTATATAATGATCACATTCAATTCACCCTTGGTTAGTCCTTCCAGCTGGTATAAGAAGTGTATGAAGACTCCCTTCAGCTCTTCTATGAGAGACTTCCTTCAGTTGGTGTATGAAAGACTTCATTCAGCACGTCTACAAGAACTCCTTTCAAAATGTATTTTCTCTGTGTACACATGTATGTGTGACCACAAAAATGGTTTGCCATTGCCATTTTGGGTAATTTATATGACGCAAAAGAAAAAAATCTAATAACCGACTGGAACATAATAATAACAACAAAACGGCAAATAACCAAAGTAAATAATAAACACACAAAACTAAAATACCATTCCACAAAAATAATCATAAATAACGAACAACAAAAAATCAACAACAGAAACTGAAAGTGGAAGAAAAAGGTGAATGAGAATTTGGTAAAATTCAATTACCAAAAATATACCTACAACAAATTACGGGATTTAATCGCATTCCTCTATGGCTACAATACAATATTTAAGGACCAGGAGAACGCATTTAACCTCCAACTAATTGCCGAACTTTGAACCCATATTGTATGTCTTTGACATTATCGATAATTGATTATTGATTCAATTTTATAATTACGCCGACTATTCGCCTAAACGTTTTTTTGGAATATGTAATTATTTGTGATATCAAATGACATTTAAATAGTCGATATTGCGGTTTCGATTACGCCAAAAAAGCATAAGGGTAGAATTTTCCATTTCATTAATTTTTGGGATATTTTTTGTGGGGGGTTTTCAGATTTTTGTGTGGCTTGTTGGGTGGGTGTTATATTTCATGGCAGTTATTTTGGTTTTTCATAGTGGGAATAATGGCGTTTCGATAATTTGTGCTTGGTACCGTATAATTAATGTCGTAATGTATACGCCATTGTGTATAATTTGATTATTAGATGGGTGGCATATAATTGAATTTTTGTTGTGGTGTGGAGAATTGATTTAGTAATTAATGGTTGGAATAAAAATTCTTTAAACAATCCACGCCTAAGGGGCAATGATGGGTGGTTGGAAAAAAATTCTTTAAAAAATCCACGCCTAAGGGGCAATGATGGGTGGTTGGAAAAAAATTCTTTAAAAAATCCACGCCTAAGGGGCAATGATGGGTGGTTGGAAAAAAATTCTTTAAAAAATCCACGCCTAAGGGGCAATGATGGGTGGTTGGAAAAAAATTCTTTAAAAAATCCACGCCTAAGGGGCAATGATGGGTGGTTGGAAAAAAATTCTTTAAAAAATCCACGCCTAAGGGGCAATGATGGGTGGTTGGAAAAAAATTCTTTAAAAAATCCACGCCTAAGGGGCAATGATGGGTGGTTGGAAAAAAATTCTTTAAAAAATCCACGCCTAAGGGGCAATGATGGGTGGTTGGAAAAAAATTCTTTAAAAAATCCACGCCTGGGTGGTTGGAAAAAAATTATTTAAAAAATCCACGCCTAAGGGGCTATGATGGGTGGTTGGAAAAAATTATTTAAAAAATCCACGCCTAAGGGGCTATGGATGGTTGGAAAAAAATTCTATTAAAAAATCCACGCCTAAGGGGCTATGATGGGTGGTTGGAAAAAAATTCTTTAAAAAATTCACGCCTAAGGGGCTATGATGGGTGGTTGGAAAAAAATTCTTTAAAAAATCCACGCCTAAAGGGCTATGGATGGTTGGAAAAATTTTTTTTAAAAAATCCACGCCTAAGGGGCTATGGATGGTTGGAAAAAAATTCTTTTAAAAAATCCACGCCTAAGGGGCTATGGATGGTTGGATAAAAATTCTTTTAAAAAATCCACGCCTAAGGGGCTATGGATGGTTGGAAAAAAATTCTTTTAAAAAATCCACGCCTAAGGGGCTATGGATGGTTGGATAAAAATTCTTTTAAAAAATCCACGCCTAAGGGGCTATGGATGGTTGGAAAAAAATTCTTTTAAAAAATCCACGCCTAAAGGGCTATGGATGGTTGGAAAAATTTTTTTTAAAAAATCCACGCCTAAGGGGCTATGGATTGTTGGAAAAAAATTTTTTTAAAAAATCCACCCCTAAGGGGCTATGGATGGTTGGAAAAAATGTTAAATATAAAATGTATTTTTTATAAAGACATTGAAGCAATCCTTTTAAAGATTTGAAAAATTTGACACCACAAACATTACCTACCCACCCATTTTTCCTCCAGAGCAAAACCTACTATCACCCACTTAGTAATGATAAGTATCATTTTGAATTTAACAAACCTTACCGCTTCCTCTGTTCTCCTCTTGCTTTGGGTTGTTCTTTTTCAGCGTTCTGTGCAATCAAACGTAAAGATGTTTTGCCAGAACTGCTGCCATTCGCAATGATTCAAATCAATAGATAAGATAGCAAATAGAAATGGTGAATGAAACCGAAAGAAAAGTGAACGCTGATAACCAAAATCGGTTGTGGCATGAATTTTGAAAAGGATATGTTACAGGGAAATTAAATTATAGGACAGCAAGTTTTCAAGAGAAGGGTGTTTTGTAAAGAATTTAAAAATTTTAAAATGTTTGCAGATTTATCTGAACTATAGACGAAATTTTCCTTAGCTCGTATTTAAAAGGCTCCGTCAAGAAGTCCTAAAAGAAATTATTATTTAAAAATTCGGTTAAAAAAATCACTCCAATTTTAGTCCTAAATAAACATTCTTTAGATAAATCCAATCTTATTTATTCCTCAACAGTATATTCGTTAAAATATTCGATAGATATATACCCTCAGTCTATGGTTGAGGAGTTTACCATCCTTAAATATAGGTTTGGAAAAATAATACGATGCCCAAATTATGGATCAAAGCAGGTATTGCATTATCTTGATATTGGATTAACCAATTTTTAAAATGTTGACACTTTGTGGGAAAAGTAACAGAAGTTGTGGACTAACGGGTCCCAGCATTAAGCTTGATCTTTGTAAGGTTGACCTGTGAAAAGTTTGGATAAAATTGGATATTGCATTCGCTCTATATGGGATTCAAACTAAAATAAAAAATAATAAATAAATAATAAACAAGATATGACGATCGGTATACTTAAAGGTGGGTCCAGGACCAATATTTCGCGGCGTTACAAACTCTTGGGCTTGCACAAAGCTATAATACCCTGACAACATATTTGTGTAGGTTATAAAAATAAATAAACTGATTTGCACCTCGACACAAATCAATTTTATTAACAATAAAAACCGCATTAAAACAACCGACTCATCAAAATGTCGGACACATACACACACAAAATATTGTAAAAGGTCACGTGTCTATGAATGAGGTCTTCGAGTTCAATTCTAATCAGCGGCTCAAGATGTGTTTTGAAGACGATCACTGGAAATTTCAAATCAGTTTCTCAATTAGCATCAAGACGGTCATATTTAAAAACGCAATGCTAATACGCTTCCGTTTTCTTCTTCCGCTGGTACTTGGTGTGTGGCAGATTCAAAGTTCTCCGGTTCAGATCAATAATGAAACTGCCGATCGTAAAACAAAAGCCGAGGAATTATTGAAATACATGAATAAATCGGTGGATTCTTGTGAAGATTTCTATGATTATGTTTGTGGTAATTATGCCACCTATAATCCGGCAACAATTGAAGAACCGGGCACGGGGCTGCCGGAGACCTTGCAAAGTAAACTAGATGCGAAAATTAAAACAATTTTAAATACCGATGATAAGGATGACTCTGATGCGGATCGGAAAGTGAAAAGCTATTTTCGCTCGTGTTTGCAAATAACAGATTTGGCAGAGAAGTACCCTGCAAAGCTGCAGGAGATTATTAAAGAATTTGGTGAAATGCCAGCCTTGGTGGGTGATAAATGGCAGGAGACGGAATTCGATTGGCTTGAGGTGGTGGGCAAAATTGTTCTATAAATACGGCTTGGGAATTCTTATGAAATTGGATTATTCAAAGGATTTTG